ATCTCAGGTCCCTGTACCCAACAGGGGCTCCTGACTTATGGATGTGGCTGAGGCCTACAGGGTGGGGAGTCCAGGAAACTGAACAAGAGGTGAGACACTCTTATGAACTGACCAAGGTCTTTGGGGTTGGAACAAAGCCACTAAAGGAACTACAGTAACCTCAGGGCAGGTGGCAGCTGGGTTTCCTGGTGAAGGGTTCTTCAGGGAGTAGAAGAGGCAGGAAGTGAATCAGGGAAGATGGAATAAAGAACAGGGCTGTGGGTGAAAAGAAAGCAAACCATGGTGGGAAACAGCAGAGAATCAGGGCTGGAAAGGAGAGTCAAATACCTATCAACCAGATTTCTCAGTGAAACTAAGAATCACCAGGTCATATCCTTTGGGCCTGCCTAGAAACCAGCCATCCGCCTCCTTCCTCTGCCTGTGGCCCACACTAATTCCCAAGGCAGCCAGTGCCAGGACTGAGATTGATGTCCCAAGACCTCACTCAGCTTGAAAAAGCTTAACATCCCTCAAGCCAACAAGGAAGGACACTTGGTCCAGTTCCCACCAGGTGCAAAAAAACCTCCCAAGTTCTACTCACAGTGCCTATCACCTGGCTCCAGAGAGGATTAACAAAACAGTTTATACATAAACATGACAGATTAGCATTTCCTGGCTGGCATGTTGAGAAGGAGCCAGAGAAAGTAAGTGACATGATCCAGCTCATGAAAGAGCTTCTAATGGGGAACATGTATAAAAACAACGTGATGTATTTGCAAAGTGACCCATGAGCACATGTAAAGATTGTGTGAGGGGTCAACCACATAACCACAGGCAAGGACACTCAGGTAAGAGTCAGCCTCCTCCATGCACGGCTGGTGTGACTCAGTGGACTGAGTGTTGTCCCACGGACTGAGAGATCCTGGTTCGATTCCCTGTCAAGGCACATGCCCGGGTTGCGGGCTCGATCCCTAGTAGGGGACGTGCAGGAGGCAGCTGATCGATGTGTCTCTCTCACAACGATGTTTCTATCTCTCTCTCTCAATAAAAACATATTTTAAAAAAAAGAGTCAGCCTCCTCTGCATCCCTCCTCTGGGCCACCTGATAACCATACTCAGGACTCAGGCATCTATTGGCAGAGCACCAAGTACCCACCCTTATGTGTGTTCTGAGTTCACCCCAAGGCTGGGCCCAAGAATTCCTGAGCTTAGGGGCCCCAGCATACCCCCTCTGGCCCGCCATCAGCCTCCTGGAAAGCTGGGCTGTATATCACCAGCATCATTTCCATCCTCCTGGGCCTCTCCCCTCCCCCACTGTCCTCCTAAACTCTCCCAGGCCCTCTGCTCTTCTCAGACATTCTGATCCTCCCCCATGGCTTCAGGTGCCATGTAGGTGGCTCATGACACCTACAATGATCTCATCAGCCCAGACCTCTCTCTTAAGCTCCAGACTTGATTATCCAACCCGACCAAACGTGGATGTCCCATAAAATCTCATGCTCCACAGGTTTGATAGTGACATCATCTCTCCCCCAAACCTCCTCCTCCAACATGCCCCACTTCAATGAACAGCACCACCCATGTGACACAAGAGTCTCACTTCTATTTAGACAACACTGCAGCATCTTTTTGTTGTTAATCCTCGCTCAAGGATATTTTTTACCAGAGGATATTTTTCCATTGACTTTTTAGATAGAGTAGAAGGGAAGGAGGGAGGGAGGGAAGGAGGGAGAGAGAGAGAAACATCAATGTGAGAGACACACATCGATTGGTTGCCTCCTGCATGCCCCTGACCCGACTGGGGCTGGGGTTCGGGGCTGGGGATCAAACCTGCAACCCAGGTATGAGCCCTTGACTGGGAGTTGAAACTGTGACCCTTGTTCCTCGGGCTGATGCTCTAACCTCTGAGCCAAACCGACCAGGGCAACACTGCAGCATCTTGCTGCCTCCCTCACCCATCATCCACTTGGGCACCAGGTCCCAAAACACAATCACTAAGCTAGCACTGAAATATATCATCCAATCCAACTAAACGGTGATTTCAGAACATAAATGCAAAAGCATCAAAAGAAAACAGGCAAAGCGTAGTTCCCAAACCCACCTGCAGCCTCACTGTTTCATATGGAGAAACCAGTGTGCCTCTCTGTACAGTGAAATATTACAATATATTTTCTATTTCATTTAAGACTGTCTCAAGAAAAGATTAATCAATTTACAAAGTTGAGGGGGTGAGGGGATGGCAAAGTATTTAATAAAAAACCGTAACAATAAAAAATTCATTTCTCCCAAGCAGGCAAAACCCTTGCTGAGGTTGCAGCAGTAGTGGCACAACCGGCAGACGTGTTCCCCCCTCCTTTTTGCACTGCGGGGCTGCTTTGTGATCTAGGCACCAAATCCCATTAGGCAGAAAAGCACAATGCAAGCCTACTTATTATTTTCAAGACAAAGGGGAAAATATTAAAAGGCAACCAGTTGCAAGCTTCCCTCACTAATTGCCAAGCATGGGAGAGGCTGTTGGAATCTACTTTTTCTCATCTGGTCTTTAAAAAACAGGAATTAGACACTGTGGTTCCACAATAGCACAGGATAAAAAAGAATCATTGTCCAAAAGCCTAACCCGTGCCACCTGCCTGATCTTCAGTTGACACGCCAGCCCCTGCCTAAGTGCCCAGCCCATGTTCGCACCACCACCACCCGTTCCAGCAGGATCACGCGGCTCCAAGTTTCCCCAAGGCACCCAGCCTTTACTCACGTCGTTCCCTCTTTTTGCCATGCCCGATCCATTGCCCATCTGGAAAACACATACTCATTAAGACAAATCAAATGTCTGCTCCCTTTACAAAAGATTCCTGACTCCTGGAACCCTGGAGACCACTTCCTCCATTGTGCTCCCCATTTCCTCACAGAAGTACCTTAACTCTTCAGCTTACAGATTTGCTTCCCCCTACAGACTACAAACCCCTGCGGGTAGGAACCATGTCATCTTCATCTTTGTATGCTCGGATCTAGTTCAGTACCTGGTCCAAAACAAGTCTTTAATAAATGTCAACTGAATGAACACATGTCTATACAGTTGACCCTAGAACAACATGGTTTTGAATTGCACGGGTCCACTTATACGTGGATTTTTTTTCAGACTGTTAATGTATTTTCTCTTACTTATTCATAATTTTCTCAATAAAAATTTTCTTTTTCTAGCTTACTTTTTTTTCTAAGAATCCAGCATAAAATACATGTAACATACAAAATGTAGTAATAGACTGTTTATATTATCAGTAAGGCTTCTAGTCAACAGTAGGCAGTTCATTTTTGGAGGGGTCAAAAGTTATATGTGAATTTTCAACTAGGGAGGGGTCAGTGGCCCTAACCCTGGCGTTGTTCAAGGGTCAACTGTACTGCGCGCATGGTTTTAAACCAAATCATTCAAATGATCCTAATCTTGGTGCCCTAGAATCCTGGATCCAGGGGAGCATAGCCCAGGAGTGCTAAGAGTGTGGACCCAGGAACAAAACTAAGTCAAAGGGCACTAATTACTGCTTACACAGATTTAAGTCCAGGTATTTGGGAGGAGGGAAGGTCAGTCATGTTCATATGTGGAAAGACAACTTCAATAAGAAAATCCAGTCAACTCTCTCTGTCATGTTGATGGAGGAAAACAATACAGCAAAACATTCCAACCAGTGGTGCCCTAGAATCCTGGATCCAGGAGAATTCATAGATCAACATTAAGCCTTGAGATATATATTATTTCTTTGTAGCAAATTTGTCTTCCAGATTCTATTTGGCTCAAGGTATGTGCGAATGATAAAGGCTGACAGGTATCTAAAGTAGGGCTTTATGAAGCTTAGTTGTAATGCAGACACCTGGGCAGGGCAGGAAGTTCCCTTACCTGACACAGTCCTGGGGTGCCTGCCTAGATGGTTCTTGCAGCTCCCCTTCCTGATGATGGTGGAAACCAGGACTATAGAGAGGCCTTGACCCATGGCTGCCCCAGCCAGGTCAAAGCTAGAATGGACACTGGCAGGTTTCCCATTTCTCAGCCCTGTGTCGACATCCTGGAAATGGTTTTGCACAGCCACCTAATCTCCTGTGCCCTTAGTTATGGCTGGCATTGACTTAGGTACCAAACTCTAACTGTCTGGGAAGGGCAAAATGTGAAAAAGGGGAAACTCAATGAAGATGGGGGAGGCCTGGGAGAGGTGGGGCAGTGGTAACCTTTCCATCTACCTGGCTAGTCTGCTGCACCATGAAAGGGAAAGTCATGAGCAAATGAAGCAGCATGCTCGGCCTGGGGTGAAAGAAATGAGGCTGGAGAGAGGGGGTTCACAGCTGGAAGAGGAAGATGGCTCTGGGACAGCTTGATCCCAAATATCCCTCTTCCCCCTTCCCATTCAGCTGTCTTTCTTCTCACTCCACAGTCTCTTCCTGACCCCAATGCACCTTCCTAAGCCCCGGAGCGCGGGCGCGCGCGCGCGCACACACACACACACACACACACACACACACTGCACAGCACCTATTTGGAGTGATCACAAGTCACTTCAACCTTTCTCACTCTCGCCTCGATTTCTTCCTTAAACCAGATGCCCCTTTCGCTGTGTCTCCCCGTCACCTTGCCTCTGGGTCTGGCCCTTAATTCCATTTTCCATTTGTCCTTTCCCAAGCCTCCCCACTAGGGGTACTTCCTGCACTAGGCTCGCCTTATGGCACCTACCAGGGGCCAGCCACTTAATACTGACCACTCCCCTCAAGCCTCCAGGGTCTCATCCCCGCCCCCAGCCTGGGCGACAGCAGTCCCTATATCTTTAACAAACCTCCACGTGCGCGTTAACGGCGGTGACAGAATTTCCTTGTCTCCCTGCTCCCGCCCCCGGAGGCGCCTCCCATTGGCCGCTGGGTTCCTCTGTTCTCGCTCTAATTGGCCTCGCTCCGGAAAACTCCAACCAATGCCCTCCCAGCGCCTGTCTCCCTCCTCTGAAACTTGGGCTCCCATTGGCTTCGAGGACTTAGGGTATCTGGGCTTGGCTCCTGACAAATTCTTCCTTCCCCGGGGTAGACTCTGGACTGAGAAACTGGTTCCGATCGCAACGGAACCCGGCGCCAGGTGATGCTGGGTCACGTGGCCGACGGCCCCATGACGTACGGGCTGCGAGGCGTCACCGTGACGTTCGGGCGACCGACCAAGTGGCCCCACTACCTGCGACACCTGTGCAGCCGTGATACAGTCATGGACCTGGGACCGATGCGCAAGAGTTACCGCGGGGACCAAGAGGTGTCGCCGGGCAGGGTCTCCGCAGGGATGGGGGAACAAGGGGTCACAAGTCATTTGAGGAGGGGAGGGGCGGTGGGAAGAACCCCACGGGGTTCCTGGGACCACCTCGTGGGACGTGGAGGCTTGGGGTCATCCCCACGAGCATAGAGGGTTCAAAAACAACCGACGGGTGGGGGGGGGGTTCTGAGGAAACCGGGACAAAGATGGGTTCGGGAGACAGCTTGTGGTGGTGGGTAAGGGCTCGGTCTCCAGCCTTCCAGGGCTGTAATCCTGCCATTCACGGGATGCATCTCCTTAGGCAGCTTACTTAACCACTCTGGGCCTCAGTTTTCTCACCTGTGAAGTGATGGTACCTACCTCACAGGAATGTGGCGGACTCAGATGTTTGTAAAGTACTTAGAACAGGGACAATCATTGTATAAATGTTTAATAAGTAAAACATGGGGGTGGGGACTAACTCACAGAGGAGGAGGGAGAATGCTCCTAGCTCCTTGCTGCCTTCATTCCATTTGCTTACCATTTGGAGAAGTTCTTTTCCTTTCCCTCCTCTGGAGAGGAACCAAGAGAACTGTTTAGAATTGAGGCCCAAAGCCTCTGGTTGCATGGGAGCAGTTCCAGAAATTCTTGTTAAACATGCATTTTCCATTAAACCTTAGATCTATTGAATGAGGATTTATAAAGGCGGAGCCCAGAATTTGTCTTTTCTTTTTCTGAAGGCTTTTCAAGTGGTAGATTTGACACCCATGACATGAAATCCTGATTCATTATCCATTACTAGCTGTGGGACCCAGCAAGTTAGTCTACTTTCTTATGCTCGTGTCCTCACCTGTAATATGGGGCAAATAGAACCTACTTCCTGAGTACTGTTTTTTGTTATGAGGACTAAGTGAATTAATATTTGAAAAATGCCTAGAATAGTTCTATGTACACATTAAGCAATATATGTGTTTATTAAAAGAAATAAAACTCTTCCTTCCCAGGCATTTGACGAAGCTCAGCTGGCCTCTCTGGACCCCATGAAGCAGTTTGCTGCCTGGTTTGAAGAGGCTGTTCAGTGTCCTGACATAGGGGAAGCCAACGCCATGTGTCTGGCTACCTGTACCAGGTGGGCATAGCCGTGAGCCCTTATATGGGTGGGTACAAATAAAGCAGGATACTTAGGAAGCTCTCAGTTTGATGGATGACAACTTTATGGTTCTAGCTCTTTTATTAACATGCTGTGTGGCCTCAGACAAGTTACTTGTCCTCTCTGGGCCTCAGTGTCCTTACCCATAAACCAAAAATCACACTTCACTCAATTACATCTCAGTGATGAAATGCAGTGCCTCATTCATTTCTACTCTTGATGCAACCCCCTCCCATACACCCTTGCCTCGCTTACCTCCCCACCTACCGTATTCCTAGCTGCCCTTTAAGAGTTATATCTCCTGAGATCTCTCCATGAAGCACTCTCTCTCTTTCTTGAAATAATAGACAATGCTTGGCTGTATCGTTCACTTGATAATCAGTCATCGAAACATCTCTCATATTAGCCTCTTATCCAACTCTTCTTGTCCCCCCTCACTAAAGTGTAAGGCCTTGAAGGCAAGGCTCTTGTACTGGGCCTGGGGTATACCCCAGAGCCCTGAGCAGAGGATCTGACATAACCTTCTGTGGTCCCTAAGCACTGGATGATTACACTATTGTTGGTTGTTGCCCTTATAGCCTTGTTACTTTACTAGAGCTGCCATAAAAAAATACCACAGACAGGGTGGCTCAAACAACCGAAACTTACTTTCCTTTTAAAAAAAAATTTTTTTTCTTTATTGATTTTTAGAGAGAGAGGTAGGGAGAGGGAGAGAGAGATAGAAACATCGATGAAGGAGAACATCTATTAGCTGCCTCCTGCATGCCCCCCACTGGGGATTGGGCCCACAACCTGGGCATGTACCCTGACCAGGAATCAAACCGGTGACTCTTGGTGCATGGGTCGATGCTCAACCACTGAGCCACACGGGCTGGGCCGAAATTTACTTTCTCACAGTTCTGGAACCTAGAAGTCCAAGATTAAGGTGCTGTCAGATATGGTTAGTAAGGCATCTCTTTATGGCTTGCAGATGGCTGTCTTTTTTCTATGTCCTCACATGGCCTTTCTTTTGTGCATTCAGGGGAGCAAGTGAGAGATCTTTGGTGTCTCTTCCTTTTCTTATAAGGACACTAGTCCCTTTGGATTAGAGTCCCACCTTTATGACTTTATTTATCCTTTCTTCCCTAAAGGTCCTATCCCCAAATACTAACATTGGGGTTAGAGCATCAACGTAGCATTTTAGGGGGACACAGTTCAGTCCTTAGGCATCAGTGTCATATTGTACTTTCAGGACAAATCCCCAGAGACAAGTGGGAGTGGGTGGCCGAGTGCCCTGACTGTACAGAATAAGGGACACAGCTATAGGGGTGCTCAGACATCCTAGGGGGAGGGGTGGCAGTGAGGACATTGAAATGGGCTCTGACTGCACCCTCTGCTCTTTGTCCCAGAGATGGGAAGCCCTCTGCTCGCATGGTGCTGCTGAAGGGCTTTGGCAAGGATGGCTTTCGCTTCTTCACTAACTTGGAGAGCCGAAAGGGAAAAGAGCTGGTAAGGGTTCATAGTAAATCCTCAGGGCTGCAGAGTCCAGCCCTTCCTCATCAGTCACCTTCTCATGCCACCCCACCTCAACTCAGTTGCAGTCTGTGCTCAAGTGCCACTCTACCTGTGGGCCTTTGCACTTGCCATTCTCCTTGTGCATGAGTGCTCTCTCCAACCATGCCCACCTCGGTCATCTGTTTACCCAAGTAACTCCTGTCCCTTCAGTCTCAGCCCCAATGTTATCTCCTGGAAAAAGCCTCCTCAACTCCTACACTAAGCCAGCCACTTATGTTGTTTGCTATCATTATGACTAGCACTGTCCCTGCCATTTTTTCAGTTTCTAACTGTGCATTTTTATGATTATGTGATTAATGTTTGTGTCCTCTGTTAAGTGGTAAGCTTTGTGGGGGCAGAGGCTACATCTGTTGTATTTGTTATACCCCCAGGACCTCTTCTGGGTCTGAGTACAGAGTTGGCACTTCATATGCATGCAATTCACAAATCCAAATGAGTCACCCTCCCTGAATCCATGCCAGCAAAACATGCATTTCTGAGAACTTGCAAACCTGTGGGTTTGTGAAATGGCAAGCATCACTTGAAGTCCAACTGGCTTAGGTTTCCATTGCAGCTCCGCCACTTTGTGTGAGCCTGGGCACAATACTTAACCTGTCTCCACACCTGTAAAAGTAGGCCTACCTTTGAGAGTTTAAATGAGATATTACATTGAATGCATCTCCTGTGGGCCTGTGAGCTTTAGACTTCTGCCTTCCCCCTGCATACCAGAGGCATCCTCCCTACTGTCCTGACGGCTGTCTATGGATTCTCTTTCATTTCCAGGACTCTAATCCCTTTGCTTCCCTTGTCTTCTATTGGGAGCCTCTAAACCGTCAGGTAAGTATTCCCAGGACAGGGTGGGCTACGTTGGGAAGGGCCTGAGTTAATATATGAGCCCAGTGGAGTTCCCCAGGCTGGGCAAATATTCTGCTTCTCTAATAGCTCTCAATTGATTCGTCTAGTTGAAACCAACAGTGGTGGGAGAGTGGATAAAGAGAAGACAGAGAGGAATGGGCCTGTACTGGTGGGGAGGGTGAGCAGCATTGAATGCCATGTAGCCAAGGCCATCCCTGAGCAGGTGCGTGTGGAGGGCTCTGTGAAGAAGCTGCCAGAGGAGGAAGCCACCTACTACTTCCACTCCCGCCCCAAGAGCAGCCAGATTGGGGCTGTGGTCAGTCACCAGAGTTCCGTGATCCCTGATCGGGAGGTGAGTGGGGCTTCCCGTTAGTCCTTCGGGTGGCAAGAACCTGGGCTCATCCCCAGAGGCTGTCTCCCAGTGATGCCAGGGCCCTCTTTCTCTAGCAAAGTGAAAAGGGTGGTCTCCCTTGGGGAATGGGGATGAGGAGTGTCCCCACTCCTCATGGGCCAATGGGCCTCCTGAGTCTGTCTAACCCTCCCGCTGGACTGTGTACCTGGAGGCCAGAGGCCAGCCTGCCTTGCTCACCTGTGCTCAATAAGTGGTTATTAAATGAATCATTGACTGGGTCTGGACCTTCCTCCATCTCCTTCCCCTAAACAGTATCTGAGAAAGAAAAATAAGGAATTGGAAAAGCTCTACCAGGAACAAGAGGTGCCGCGGCCAGAATACTGGTGAGTGATGCCTAGTAGTAGTGTGGAAAGGAACACCAGGACCTTTGTGTTTACTTGGAGCTACCCTATCTGTGGAATTACAGATCTACTCCCTGTCGACCCTCATCAGCTATATCCCAGCAACTTCCTTCAGGGGAACCTGGGATGGCGGGGGTGAGGGGGTGACATGGTTGGAAAAATGCACAGAGCCCTGAAACCTTTACTTCCCTTTATAGGGGTGGCTACATCCTGTACCCACAGGTGATGGAATTCTGGCAAGGCCAAACCAACCGCCTGCATGACCGGATCGTCTTTCGGCGGAGCCTCCAAACAGGAGGCTCCCCTTTGGGGCCCATGACCCACCAAGGGGAAGAAGACTGGCTTTATGAGAGACTTGCTCCCTGACTCCCAGTCTGTGGTGCCCACTGGAGCTAGGACCAGGTGCTGAGAGAAGGTGTGGGATTGGGAACCAGGCCCTTCCAAACTCAACCCATTCCCCTCCCCACTTCTTATATTTAGTTGGTTCTCAGTAAGCTGTCTAGTGGAATGTAATGGTGGCATAGAGAATCACAAATGGAACATAATGTCATAACTATTTTCTTGATTTTGACAATAATTTATTTTAATAGCTCCCTCTAGGGGTAGCAGCTGGAGTGATTTCCTTTTCTGATGACACAGGGTGAGTCCCCAGCAGCCTGTCTTTTTACCACCAGTGACACAGCCAGTACTGGCCAAAGCTGATTGGTCCCAGCATAAGCACCTGAGCCAATCTAGCCAATCCATTTTTCTGGTCAACTATTTAAAATTTGAAATGGAGAGACCCAGAGCATGATGCATCATTGTAGCCAAGTCAATAATGGCAACCAAGAAGCAATAGCCTCGGGCTGCTGCTCTTGCAATTCCCTGCAGGGCTCTGGATCCCTCCTTCCCCTGTCTGGGCTGTGCAGGTCCTCGTCCTCCTGCTTCAAACACCCACTACCCCTAAAAAAAATTTTTTTTTTTTTTTGGTACGTACCCCTAGCGGGAACCGAACCCAGGACTCTCCGGTCTGCAGGCTGACGCTCCAACCACTGAGCCAAACCGGGCAGGGCCCTAAAAAAAATTTTTTTTTTATCCTCACCTGAGGACATTTTTCCATTTTATTCAGATAGAGTGGGAGGGAGAGAGAGGAAGAGAGAGAGAGAAACATTGACATGAAAGGGACACACTGAGTGGCTGCCACCCGCACAACCCAACCAGAGCCGGGGACAAACTGCAACCAAAATACATGCCCTTAGCGGGAACCAAACCCGGGTCTCTCTGGACTGCAGGCTGACACTCTAACCGCTGAGCCAAACCGACCAGGTCTAAAAAAAAATTTTTTGACATAAACTAGCAGAATCAATTTCTGTTGATTGCAAATAAAAGAACCTTAACTAACTCATTTTTTAACAGATATTTTTATAGTACTTACCCTAATGATAGCTGCTGTCCATTATCTGAAGCACAGCAATGTGGAAAAAGGTTATATTTATTCTCTGTAGCTCCAAAGGACCCATAGGTGGATATTACACAGAAATAGATTCATCTCAATATGGAGAGAGATTTCAAGAGGGAGGAGGTAGTGAGTGTTAGGTAGTGAGTGTTCACTTATTGGAAGTATTCAATCCCAGCCAGGAGATTTGTAGGGATTCATGTGCTGGTAGCTGCGGGCCAGGAAGATTTTAATTAAGCTTTACTTTTCATGTTTATTTATAAACTTTATTTTAAAAAAATTGATTTTAGAGAGAGAGGAATGGAGAAGGAGAGAGAGAAACATCGATAGAGAATGTTGATTGGCTGCCTCCTGCATGCCCCCCACTGGGGATTTGCCCTGACCTGTGCATGTGCCCTGACCAGGAATCGAACCAGCGACCTCCTGATGTGTGGGTTGATGCTCAACCACTGACCCACACCAGCCAGGCAGTGTTTATTTATTTTACTTTCCAGACATAAAATTAAATTACAATAAAACCTTGATATAATGGTCTAACTCAGGTGAGGGGGTATCTGTTAAAGCCAAAAGCCCGTTATATACAGGGTGGGGCAAAAGTAGGTTGACAGTTGTGAGTATGCAAAACACAGAGTGTTCTTGTATTATTATTTATTAATTATTGTATTATTTTCCATGTGAACAACTGTAAGCCTACTTTTTCCCACCCTATAATAAAGTAGGTTTTCAAAATAAGTATTTAAAAATTGACAAATTAGTTTACCTGTTTTTACTTACGTAGACACGTTTGTGTAATTAAAATTATGTGTGAAAAGTTTAATTTCACAGGAAAGTCTTCTATATGTATTACAATAATTTTAAATTTATACAGAATAGGCCTAGTAAACACGTGCATTCACCAGTCACCGTGCATAAACATGCACAGGGCAGGGGCGGGGCTCAGCAGACGTGGGAACGCAGGCTCCTTAAAACTGCTGCAGAAAGTCACGCCATGCGACAACGGATCCAGTTACCTAGAGAAATACGGTGTGATCACGTGCTGATTCACTGAACATTGTTTATAGCGGTGACTCTTGGATTTAAATATGTGGAATATAGTTGTAGATACGTAATATTTATGTCAGCGAAATTACTAGTGTTTTTACCAACATACGGCCTATTCGCTAAAATTTATTTAAAATAACTGCATAACAAAAAATAACTCTTAATTTAACTGTAAGCAAATCTTGGTTTAAAGCATTTTAAAATTAACAGGGTGTTAATTTGCACATATGACATAACAGACTGGAAATTTTTTCCATTGAATCCGAAGTCTGTTAAATCGAGGTCCACAAAATCGAGGGTTCACTGTGTTATAGAAATTATGCCTCTCTGACCACTCACACATCCCCTTCCCCTACTCCTCACCTCTACTGATGATGATTCCTACATCACTGATTTTTCATCCACACTGGAATTACCTGCGGGGAGCTTTAAAAATCCTCATGATGCCTGGATCCTCCCCTTAGGGATGATTTAACCCAGTGATTCTCAACCTTCCTAATGCTGTGACCCTTTAATTCAGTTCCTCATGTTGTGACTCCCAACCATAAAATTATTTTCGTTGCTACTTCATAACTATAATTTTGCTACTGTTATGTCTTAGGCAACCCCTGTGAAATGGTGGTTCAACCCCCAAAGGGGTCACGACCCACAGGTTGAGAACCACTGAACCGGTCTGAGTGCAGGCTGGGCACTGGGAAATTTAAAGGCTCCCCAGGGAACTTTGTAGCCAAGATTGCCACCCCCTGGTCTAGATCCCTGTGTGGTCCTCAGGACAGCAGGAGGCATTGGCATTACTTGGGGGCTCACCCCAGACCCACTGAATCCCATCCTGCATTTAACAGAACCCCCCACCACCCCACCACCACCACCACCAGATGACTGGATACACTGGTCTCAACCTCTAAACCTACTGCCTGTCAATCTCACGATTGGATTCTCCAGTAACCCTCTGCTGAGGCCTGTGTTGAGCTGTATTGGCTTTCCTTGAGCAAAGTCTAGTGACCAGGGACAGCCTAGATGAGTGGCCTATAGGCTGTGGTGAGGTGCCAGGCTGGGTTAATGTTTGCTGTGACTAAACCAGGATAAGAGAACTATTTGTGCACATTGACATTGAACTTGCCACTCTGTAAACTGTTTCATTCCATTGTATGGGCATGTGCTTCAGCATCTCTGTTATTGACCAACTCCCCCAAGGGCCTCCCTCTTGGTGTTGATCCCCTCTGAAGCCTTAGTGTGGGAAGACACAACCCTAACCTTTCCAAAACCTGCAGGAGGGTGCTGGGGTACCCCACCCTATTATGTCCTATTTGTGTTCCTGGGATCAGTGTACCCCCCACCCCAGCTTTGAGCCTGGTCTCAGCAGTTCCTTTCCTGTTCTCTGTCTGACAATCACTTTGCGAAATCTGTAATAAAAACTCATCAGATGTGGGTGATGTTAATGTTCGATCTGGCCTGGTCTTGCCCCTCACCCTAGGAAGGAGGAAAGTTGGGAGATTTAAACAACTCTCCTCCCACCTCGATTCTTCTCTCTTGGGAGGTGGGGCATCCAGCAGGGGGAGCCCGCTGCCCAAGGTTGGCCCCTTCTGGGCCGCACAGGCCAGTTCTAGCCTGCCCCTCCTGCCTCCCCCTTCCCTCCCTTGGGTTGAGTCCCAGTGAAACTGTGGTCGATAACCTGTAGCCTCTCCCGGCTCCTGCACATATTTGCACTTTCGGTTCCTCCTTCTCTGGCCTGGTAAAAACTTGAAGCTGCCTGGGCTCTGACTCCCTGGACAGCCAGATATCCCTTTGACCTTTGGTAACTATTTCATCTCCTCACCCCCATCCACTAATACCCAGTTTAGGGGTGTATATGGAGTTTCCCGGGAAGATTCCTGCAGTCATCACCTTGGGACTGTGGAGCATGGTCACATGCACGGGGCAGAGGGGTCTGCAGACAGACCCTCTCACCTAAGAGGAGGAATGGTGGCAACTGGGTGCCAGCATTAGGTCTGGCATTAGGTCAGCATTAGGCCATAGGTAAGGTCCATGGCCCAGGCCCCAGCCTCAACCCCCAATCCTCGCCTCAAAGAAGCTCAGGATGGGCTGGAGTGGGAGGTCCCTACAATCTGGGGTCTCCATATACTCAGCCTCAAAGCCAATTGGCTTTCCCCTGTTGGTCCCAGAGTCTGTGCAGCACCCTCAGGTGGTGCTCACCTCCCAGGACCCCAAGGTCCAGGCCTTGCCATCCCTCATCCTACCTCTCCTTCAGCAGAAGGTGACCGTGTTTTTTCCTTGTCCTGAGCCTCAGTTTTCCATCCCCTAAGCAGATGAAAATCAAGAGTGGAAGAGGCTGTGTGGTTCATTGGTCACATGCACAGGCCAGCTCTGGCTCAAGTTCCAGCTCCACCACTGAGAGAGCATGACCTTGGGCGAGTGACTTTAGCCTCTCTAAGCCTCAGCTAATTTATCTGGAAAATGGAGATAATTAATAGTAGCTCCTGTCTCTCAGTGGAGGATGAGATTAAATAAGGAACCTTGGGGAGTATTTGTCACAGGGCCCGGCCCAATTTAATCCACACCCAAGGATATATATACACTTTTTTTTTTTTTGCTATTTTATTTTTTATTATTATTTTTATTTATTTTATTGTTACAGATGTTTCTCCTTTTTTACCCCATTGGCACCCCCCTCCCCACCTCACACCCGCCCCATCCCCGGCTTTGTTGTCCATGTCTATTGGTTATGCATACATGCATATAAGCTCTGTGATTTATCTCTTCCCACCCCCCCACCCCCTCTTCTGAGGGATGTCAGTCTGTGCCCTACTTCCATGTTTCTGGGTCTACCGTATTCCTCAGACTGTTATGTTCATTATATTCCGTATATAAGTGAGATCATGTGGTATTTGTCTTTTTCTGCTTGGCTTATTTCACTTAGGATAATACTTTCCAGGTCCCTCCATGTCGTCTCAAAGGATAAGAGATCTTTCTTTCTTACAGCTGCATAGTACTCCATTGTGTATATGTACCACAGCTTTTTTCCCATTCGTCTACTGATGGACACTTGGGCTGTTTCCAGATCTTAGCTATTGTAAATAGTGCTGCTATGAACATGGGGGAACATATATTCTTTCTGATTGGTGTTTCAGGCTTCTTAGGATATATTCCTAGAAGCAGGATCACTGGGTCAAATGAAAGTTCAATTTTTAAGTTTTTGAGGTACACCATATTGTTTTCCATAGTGGCTGCACCAGTCTGCATTCCCACCAGCAGTGTACTAGAGTCCCCTTTTCTCTACACCCTCGCCAACACTTGTTGTTTGATGATTTGTTGATGGCGGCCATTCTGACAGGTGTGAGGTGATACCTCATTGTTGTTTTAATTTGCATCTCTCTGATGATTAGTGATGTTGAGCATTTCTTCATATGTCTCTTGGCCATTTGTATGTCCTGTTTGGAGAGGTGTCTATTCAGCTCCTCTACCCATTTTTTATACACATTTTTTTAAATCCTCACCTAAAGGTATGTTTTTACTGATTTTTATTTGTTTTATTTTATCCTCACCCAAGGACATTTTTGCATTTATCTTCAGATAGAAAGGGAGGAAGAGAGAGAGAAACATCGATGTGAGAAAGATATATCTACTGATTGCCACCCACACAACCCCAACCGAGGCTGGGGACAAACTGCAACTGAGGTACATGCCCTTAGCGGGAACCGAACCCGGGTCTCTCTGGTCCGCGGGCCAACGCTTTAACTGCTAAGCCAAACCAGCCAGGGCTGTTTTTACTGATTTTTAGAGACAACGGCGGGGGGGGGGGGGGAGGAGAGATTGATGTGAGAGATAAACATCTATCAGTTGCCTGCCATACTCGCCCCAGCTGGGGCTCAAACCCAAAACCTAGAAATGTGCCTTGACCAGGAATCAAACCCACTGGTCGACACTCAACCACTGAGCCACGCTGGCCTGGCCCATTTTAAACCCTCTGTAAACCTCAGGTATTAACAATGGGCAGGGCTGGAATATGGGGAAAAGTCTGCTCCTCCCTGGGAGGCTTTATGGACTGAGTTATTGAGGGGACCCTAGAAAGTTCCATGTGATGAGGGATAGGGAAGAGTCCTCCTTCCCTCCCTTGGGCTCCTGGTTTCCCTCACTCATCCTCAGAGCACCCTTTACCCTGGGTGAGGCCACCTAATAAAAGCCCCCTTGTGTGCTCTATTTGTTTTGGTAATAAATTTTCTGAGCAACACTCCTTAGGGTGGGGTGGTCCAGCAGCCTGCAAGGAGCTGAACGGAAGCTGCTGGACCACATTATTTAGTCACCACCTTGGTCTCTTTTTCTCTCTCCATGTTCCCACCTTGAGCTCCACAAGTTTGGTCATTTTTTCCCCAGTTCCCAGCTCCTGGGGCTTGAGAAAGATCTAGAGCCCAGCTGGCATGGCTCAGTGATTGAACGTCGACCCATGCACCAAGAGGTCGCCGGTTTGATTCCTGGTCAGGGCACATGTTCAGGTTGTGGGCCCGATCCCCAGTGGGGGGTATGCAGGAGGCAGCCAATCGATGTTCTCTCTCATCGAGATTTCTTTCTTTCTTTTTTTGTACATGCCCCTAGCGGGAACCGAACCCAGGACTCTCTGGTCTGCAGGCCGATGCTCCAACCGCTGAGCCAAACTGGCCAGCACTCATTGAGGTTTCTATCTCTCTCTCCCTCTCTCTCTAAAAATTAATAAAGGGAAAAAAAAAAAGATCTAGACCTAACAGCATAAGGAGCACCCTCTCTTCCTAAATGGAAGCTGTAGGCTACGGTGGAGTTCCTTATGAAGGGAAAAGGGGGAAGGAAACCAATGTCAATTGAGTGCCTACAACAGGCCCATTTATGAGCCACTTAATATTGACCACTCACTCCTGTGAAATAGGTGTCATTACAGCTTCTTTTATAAAAGACAAAACTGAGGCTCAGAGGGTGTTGTTTTATTTTATTTTACTTATTGATTTTTAGAGAGGGAGAGAAAGAGAGAGAAACATTGACTTGTTCCACTTATTCATGCATTCATTGGTTGATTTTTGTGCCCTAATTGGAGATCGTGCCCCCACCCTTGGCATACTGGGAGGGTGCTCTAACCAACAGAGCTACCTGGCCAGGGCTCAGAGTTTTTCTTTTAATGTTCTCCAAATCTACTAAGGGGTGGAACCAGAATTTGAATCTTGATCCCAAACCAAACCACTGCAACTTTGGTTTCAGTCACCAAAAGTCTGCTGCATTCTCTTGGAGCCCCTGATGGCCTCTCTGTTGACTAGATGAACTGACCACTGAGGTGTCACGAGCTCCTTCCTTCGTTCCCTCTGTCCCTCGATGCTAATGGTGGCTTGATGGTGAAACCAGTGTCCCAGTTTCCACATGCTGACACCTGGGGACCCCTTCTGAAGTGTGAAAGGAATGATTTGAGCACCAAGTTCCACTTTACTTAAATGAAGGGAGACAAAGGCATGAAAAACAGTCATCTCAATAAACGGAAGGCAAACATATAAACAGGTTTCTCTGCTTTTGCAGTATTGTTTATTACAAAGAGAGAAACCTACAAGTATATTTTTAAACAAAATTCAAGGCTCCAGAACTCATCTCTGGGGCTGATCTATCTTACATTCAGGTAGGGAAGGAGAGAAGAGAACTGGCGGCTTTGGCTCCTACCAGAGCTCCCCCGACCTGATCCAGACCTGCTGGGTCCCTAACTGGCCTTCTGCAGCACCCCCAGGGAGTGCTGGGGTCCTCCTCCCCTGCACATCTTGGGGCAAAGTTCCAGGAAGTTTCCCACTTGTGTTAGGAGGTGAGCTCAAATTCAGTCCACCTCTGGCTCCTGGAAACGACCCCCATCACATGGCTTCTGGAAAATGCACTGTCAGAATTGGTGCAGGGAACAGTCTCAGGTAGGGAAAGGAGAGGGAGCAGCAAGTCAAACTCACCCTTGACCTTGTGCCCTGGGAAGAGGTGAAGTCAGTCAGGCTCCCTCTCTACTCCTCGTCCACCTCCCTGCCCGCCCTGACACGGCTTCAAGGAGGACTGTCCTTCCTGGGTGGCACTCTTCATCCTTGAACTGAAGGGCCTTTATATGTGGTGAGGGATGGTGGGAGGACCCTGGGATATCCAGGCTTTCCAGAAAGCTGGAGCGCATAAATACAAACCTAAAACCAGACATTTCCCGCCAGCAGGCGTCAACTGCCCCCCGGGCTTCATGTGGCCAAAGAGGCAGGCTGGGCAAGCTCCTAGCTCAGATCCAGCTGACAGCAGGGAGCGGGGCGGTGCCAGCATCCTCCTTGGCCCCCTTCACTGTCCTTTGTCCTCCCGGTCATCAAAAAGATTGGGGTTCTCCGCCAGTGTGGCTCGAACTTTTTTCTTCTCCTTGAAGCGGCCAGAATTGGAGACCTTGACGTGCTTGCCCTTTGTGCTCTTGTCCACGATCTTCTCCAGGCGGGTGTTAAAGTCACTGTTGGAGTCCCCACCCTCGGACCGCGGGGGCTCCGCGCTGCCCTCCGTTTGGGCATAGGTGTCAGGGATCTCATACAGCACCTTGGGGGTGGATTTCTTTTTCCGGAGGAAGGTCAGCTTCCACCAACCAACTTCGGTCATGGTGCTCCCTGAGCAGAGGGTGGGCTTTCTGCAGGAGCAGGGGGAGAGAAAGGGGTCACTGGGGAGAAGGGGGAGTGTGTTGGAGCAGCCCCTCTCTAGGGTCCTAACCACAGCTGTTTTATTTATTTATATTATTATTATTATTATTGTTATTATTGTCTTTAAATGTTTTTATTTATTTCAGAGAGAGGAAGGGAGTGGGAGAGAGAGAGAAACATTGATGCTGCCTCCTGCACAGCCCCCACTGGGGATCGAGCCTGTAACCTGGGCGTGTGTCCTGGTGACCTCCTGGTGCATGAGATGATGATGGACCAACTGAGCCACTCCAGCCAGGCACATGGGCTACTTTAACAGCCCAGGCCTAAAAGAATGAAAGGTGGGCTGAGTGAACCTAGGATTCAGGTAAGTGATGCAATGTGTTTGGAGAGTATGAGAAGAGAGAGGGTCTGGGGAAGGAGTGGCCACATACAGAGACAGGAAAGCCATCTGAGCCAGGTGGAGGTGACAGTGGGGAGGACTGCACACCACTGCCATGCAGCTTCAAGACACCCGGTCCCTTGGGGCTGTAGGAAGGTGAACCGCTTGCCCAAGTCACACAGCATCCAGGCCTTTGATACCCTTTGGGCAGATGGTCGACTGGTATCAGACCGACAGAAACTCCCTTGTGTATTTTGCTTGGAATTAATTCATTCATTCATTAATAAATTCATTAATTCAAAATTAAATAGGATTTGTGACATTTAGAGTAATTTGAACTCCCCACTGGTGATTAACAGGGAGAGGACCCTCAGGCTGGGAGTGGAAAGTCCTGGGGACTGTTCCAGATTCGTAACCTCTGGTGTCACTTCTCTGGACCTCAGTGTCCTCATCTGTCCCTTCCAGCCCCGATATTTAGCTTTGACATTGATGCCTACCCACAGAGGTAGACATGCTTTGCAAAATACAACTTATGATCATGGTAATAATTATTGCGGGATGGCCCCCTTTCCCCAGCCCGCTTCCACCAGGATAGGAGTTTGAAGGGGAGCTGAAAACTGAAAGGAGGTTTGGTGGGGCCAAGAGGTACGGGTGACATACTGTTATCACAGGTTGGACTCTCCGTAAGGAGACCCAAAAGAGGTGGGCTGTGGGGGCTGAAATCCAGGCTTCTCCCCTGACAAGCAATGTGCCCTGCATGTTACCTCCCCTTTACTCGTCTGCACAAAGGTGCTGAGCTAGTGGACCTTTGGGGAGATACAGCTGCCTGGACATCACTGACAGGTGGGGTGTGTAAGAAGGAAGGAGACAGTAGACCAGAGCAGTTAAGATCAGTGTAAGAGCGGGCAGAGTGATGGGAAATCAAGGCATCTGTTTCTGGAGAGGTTGGTAATCTGGTTTTAGGACCCTGAGTGTGGCTGTGGAAGGTCCTGGGAGGAGGGACAGTAGCCACAACGCACCAGAAAGCTAGGTGGTCAGCCAGCCCAAGCCCAGGCAAATATATCACCTCTATTTATTTATTTATTTATTTATTTATTTATTTATTTACTTACTTACTTATTTATTTATTTTATTTTTTTTATCCTGACCCGAGGACATTTTTCCATTTTTTGTTCAGATAGAGTGGGAGAGGGAGAGAGGGAGAGAAACATCGATGTGAAAGGGACACATCGAGTGGCTGCCATCTGCACGACCAACCAGGACCGGGGACAAACTTCAACCGAGGTACATGCTCTTAGCAGGAACTGAACCCGGGTCTCTATGGACCACAGGCCGTGGCTCTAACCGCTGAGCCAAACCGGCCAGGGCAGTAGTGGTTTTCTTTATGTATAAGGAATACTGGATGCCTTCTCCCCTCTATTTTTCTGATTTCCAGATTTTCCATAATGAGTATGAGTTTGGTTTTTTTTTTAGAGGAAGAGCATATTAAATTCAGGAAAAAAGAAAACGAAGGCAGGGTGCTGGCCTAGGCTTGGAATGAGTTGAGTGTCTCCATCCATCGGCCGCCTTGCTGTGTCCCCGATCTACCCACATACCCCTCCCCTTGCTCAGATTCCTTTCCACGGCTTTGTTCAGGAAGCAGATGCCACATCGCCAGCTCTAGCCCTCCAGCTGAGCCCAAACAGCAAGAGAAACCAGGGTAGATCTTGTGCCGCTCCCACTTAGAAGTGAGGGAGGGGGCCCGGCTGGCTCAGTGCTTGAGCGTGGACCCATGCACCAAGAGGTCACTGGTTTGACTCCCAGTCGGGGCATATGCCCAGGTTGTGGGCCCGATCCCCAGTCGTGGGCATGCAGGAGGCGGCCAATAGACGTTCTCTCTCATCAATGTTTCTATCTCTCCCTCTCCCTTCCTCTCTCTCTCTAAAATCAATAAAGAAAAATTTTTTAAAGAAAAAGAAAGTGAGGGAGGGGGCCAGATAAACACTTTCAGGACACCCTGGAGAGGTGAGCGCACCAAGGGGACAGCCTGAGAGGTTTGCTTTGGCAGCTTGCCCTACCTGGGCTTAGCACAGCCTTGCACAGAACTCAGTGTTCCAGAATGGGTTTCTGGAAGGAGTCGTGAGGAGGGCAGGGAAGGAGAGACAGGACGCTTGCTTGTCCTGTGGGTGCCCCAGTCGCCACCTCGTCTGGGGCAAGTCCCACAGCCCCACCACCACCCACCCAGAGCTGCCAAGGAACTTGAGGAGTGGAGGATCTAGCTCCTGAACCAACAGTAATCTCCAGACTGCCTAGCTCCATTAAAGGAAGTGGCTTCTACCTGTGCCAGTTCAAATATACCCGCTTTAACGGGTATTTCAAGTTGGCATCCACAGGGAGGGACAGACCACAAGGAACTTGTCAGAGAGCCATAGAGTTGGGAATGGCCCTTGGACCCTGCCCTGTGGCTTCCACCACGGCACCAAAGCACTGGTGCCCTTGTCTCCTGGCTTAAACTCTGGTCTCTCTAGGATAGTTTTCACCAGGCCTTGCTGCCCCTCTGTTTAGGACATACCAGCACAGGAAGCAGGTATTTGCCCCTTTAGGCAAACTTGACCTATGGAAATCTGAATTTGCAGAACAACTAAATTAGGTCTTTGTTTTGCAGAATAACCCAGTTGGCTATAGGTTCTTGTAAATAGTGAGTTACCCCTACCATAGTGTAAAATCTGACTTGCTTAAAAAAAAGTGATATCCAAATTTCCTAGCCAAGAACAAGATACTTACAGCCTATGCCTAATCACAGGAGGGGGCTGAGGGTGGGGATGTCACTGGGATTTTGAGCAGACGGAGCATTTGGTGACACACAGGCTGCAGTCTGCTTACGCAGGGCCAGGAGCTAGGCAAGTTGAGGGCTGAGCCCTTGCCCTGGGGTCCTGCAATCCATGGGAGGATAGACATCTGCCCCTGAGGAGGCCAGCTACACCTACACTGTACACTGTTTGCATAGCTTAGGAACCCAGCCTAAGAGGGCCTCACAGGAAGGCCCACCACCCCTCGCCTAAGGCAGCCAGCACCATGGCCTGCTTGTGGGCACCCCAGGACAGGCCCCACCACCCCAACTGAGTTCTTCAACTGCTCTAAGGGCCTCGCCCAACTAAGTAGAGCCGTTTCTTAGCTGAGCCAAGTTAACCATTGACTGGGGCAAGGTGGAGGAGTGGAGGGGGTTGAGGGAGCAAGTCACCTTTTATGCTGTAAGACAAAACCCAGAGCCCCCAGCCCTAAGCCCTCTGGAAGGCCCCTGTGGGACTTCTCCACTCTGGATAAGACTGGGGTACCCTCGATAGGAACAGGAAGCGATTCCTACCAGACAGCCAGAAACACCCCCCAGGCTGGGGCGTAGGAACTGGTAGGCTCCAGTTCAGCAAGAGTTAACAGAGAACTGCTCTGGAGTGAAACTTTCCCAACAGGAGTTCTGCTGGATTGACTCCAAGAAGCCAATGGGATGAGTCCTCAATTCTGTCTGCTCACCTAGGGAGAGGTGGGAGCCGACACGCCTGGGTTCTCCCTCCCAGCTGGACTTGTCAGCCATGGAGGCAGAACAGGGTGCCCCACTATGCCTTGGTTTCCCCACCTGCCCACCCTCTGCCTGTACCTGTAATCCTGATTGCTGAAGGCTGGAGGTGAGACCTTCCCTAGACAACGAGCTCAGTGCAGGCACTGCCCAGAGGGAGCCTGGGGGAGCGGGGGTGCTGCTAGGGTGCTGTGCCAGGCAAGGCTCAGGCCAGGTGAGCTGGGTAGGAGCAGCTGTGCAGCAGGTGCAAGAGAAACAGGTGCAGGAGCAGGGTACCTGCTCACTGTGCCTCCAGGAGTCAAGGTGAACCTGAAACCCAGCCCCTCCCGGCTAAGTAAACAGAAGCAGAGGCCGACTTGGGCTGATGAATATTCATTACCCCAGAAATCCAATCCCAGTGCCCCTGCACCCACCCAGAAGCCAGGGTCCTCCAGGGACCGCCTAGCCAGAAGGAGGAAATCCCGAGGGAAGTTTAAGGTGGGGGCAAGAGGGCAGCCTCACTCCTCATTTTCCGCACTCTCAGGTGCCTGGTTGCCGACCATCTGTAGCCAAGGTCACCCCCACCCGTTTCAAGCCCCAGCGAGGTTGAGACCCCTTTCTGGCGACAAAGCCTGGACCTTGCCCCAGGCACAACCGGGAAAGGGTTAAGGGCCTGCTCCCGTTGGCTGAGAAGGACAGGGTGCACCCAGCTCCTTTGAACTCCGGAGTCGAAACCAGTCCCTGGTTAAACTGGTTGGCAGACCGGTTCCCAGGCTGTCCGCTCCGCCCCAAGTTCAGTGCTCCGCAGGCAGGCGCTGGGTGGGTGGCTGTGGCTCCCACCTGACCTAAAGGGCCCCTCGAGATCTCCCTGGGCTGGGGTGAGGAGGGGGCCCTGGCCCCTCCTCGGGCAGGATTCACTACAACCTCAAACATCCTCACCCTCTCCTCCCTCTCCTCCCTTTCATTGAGGTGCACTTCATGACCCTTGAAATTATGTGCAAAATCCCATGTGTATGGGTAGAGGAGCATTATTTCTGTGCGTATGGGGTTACACTTTATTAGTAGTATCTCAAAAAGAATTGTGGTGGCCTCCCTACCCCCAAAGTACCACTTCATTCAACTTCCCCCAAACGTCCAGCTGTCCCTTTCGTGGACCATACTGGGTATTATAAAGTGAACAAGACCTGGGGCAAGCTCTCAGGGGAGGGGGTGGCGAGGGGCTCTGGGGAGGTGGGAAGAGAGGAAAAGGCAGGAAGGCAGCATGTGCACACATGAGGTGACAGTCTCACTTGGTCCCCTCGCTGATATGCAGCCATACCTCCTCTTGCAAACTTCCATCAGTCGAGGCCATGTGAGCCTTCAGCCCGGCCGCTCTTACATATGGCGAATGCCTTGGGGGTTATTTGTAGCCACCCTTAGGTGGGCTGCTTGTGTTTGCAGTCTTTCTCCCCTCAGACTGACGGGAGCCGCTGGAGAGAGGAAACTGCTGCATGCTGAGTGTCCCTGCAGCTTCCTGTCCCAGTGCTGCCGAGCTCTGATCCTCAACCCACCTGCCCAGCGCCCTTCCTCCATGACTGAGTGTGTGCGGCCAGGCTCCAAGGGAAGCTCTGGGTAAGGAAAAGGCACACAATTCTCTCTTCTCCTGGCTCTCCCCCTACGTTATATTTTAAAGCCTAATTAACCAACTCTCAAACCTGCCCCACCGTCTCCAACCTGCTTCTACCTGGTTCAGCTTCTCATGGCCTTGTGACTTCATCCCCTCCATCCTAAACGGGTGTCCCTAGGCCTCAAGGGGATAATACTTCACAGGCATCTGCCTGGCCTGGCCCTCCTAGGATGGGGTCTCTGCAGCCTCCTCTCCCAACCCTCCCTGAATGTGCACACTAGGCCCTTTCTCTGCCTTCCTTCCTGGGTGCAGAGCTGCCTAGGAGGGTGAGATTAGGAATGCGTGCAGCACTCTTGGCCAGGAATGGCCTCCCCACCCCCTGTATAAACCAAGACAAACTCCTATTTATCCCTCAAGACCCGAATTAACTATTTGCCTCCTACCTCACCAATATGTTTCTTTTTTCTACAGAGCTTGTTCATATGCTTCTATTTAACATGATATATACCATGACTGATTATATATATGTATATGCAACAAACACACATATAGTATTGCAATGATTCATTCATGTGTTTGCCTCCCTTATAGAATTTTAAGCCCTTGAGCCTAGAATTATCTATCGTTGATACAAACCTGACATGTAATTAATACAAGCTTTAAAACCCAAATGAGAAACAGAAGCATTGTTTTTACCCTTAGAAATTCTTAATGTAGCCAGTTGCCTTTGTCCCACTCTCCCTGGGGCAGGTAAGGGTGAGAGAAAACCCATTCGTTTCACCTCTCATGGTTTCAGCTGCAGCAGGCTCGTTACATCGTCTCCCCAGGGCTCATGTGAATTGAAGATATTATTTTGCAAGGTGCCTTACCCCTAGTAGAATCGTACATGGTTGTCCCAGGAAGATACCCACAGCTTTCTAGGTCTGTCACTTTCTCTGAAAGCCTGGTCTGGGGGATTCTAACCAGGGGCCAGAAACCATTTCCATCTTTATAGGAAGGGGCACCTGTTGAAGGCACTCATTCCGTCCACCCCCAACTCTGAAACCCAGGCCTCTCTGATTTCTGGGACCCACAGGTACAGAATCCCGTTCTCTTATCCCCACACTGGAGAAGGAGCCCCAGTGAGAACCACAGTGGGCTGTATTCAGTGGGTGCCCACTTGTGGCCCGCCCTTCGGAGAATGCCACCAGGACCAGGTCTCCAACCCACCCTCCTGGGAGGGACCAGCCTGGGAAGTCAGGCCCAGCCCCTGGCCTTTGCAGATTTATTTTTGGGAGGAGCAGGGTTGGGAGGGGAGTTTGAGATAAGGCTGTAGACTATGACTATCCCTTTAACAGATCGATTCCTTTAATAGATCACCACACACAGCCTGCTTTATTGCTTTATACAATGTCTCACCTTTAATGCCCCTTCTAAGATGAGGTTCAAGTGTGATACTCCAGACACAAACATGCAATGTGCATGTTTTCAGAAACGTATCCTTGTTGCCCATTGAGTGTGGCTCATTTGGTTGAGCGTCGTCCCATGCACCAAGGGGTTGCTGGTTCGATTCCAGGTCAGGGCACATGCCTGGGTTGCCAGCTCAATCACCAGTGGGGGGGTGTGCGGGAGACAGCCGATGTTTCTATCTCTCTCTCCCTGTCCCTTCTTCTCTCTCTAAAAATCAACAAAAACATATTTAAAAAAAAAAAGAAAAAGAAAAAGAAAAAGAAATGTGTCCTTGTTGAATATAGCAAGTAAAATGTACTAAGGTAGTTCCAAGTAACTTGGTGGTCCGTTGAGACATGGAGCCCTTGTTTTTGTGGTGACTTTTGTACAGATGGCTCCTATCTTCCTGACCAGGGAGTAGATCCAGGCTTCAGGAGTCTTTCTTCTCCACAGCAGAAAGGAGAGAGGAGCTGCCCCTGTCCTCAGCACTTCCCCTTCTCTGGAAGGCCAGGACACTGGAGATCCTAGGGTGTCCCGCCTGGCCAAGGTGACAAGTGGGGCAAGGCCAAAAACTGGTCTCTGGTGGCTGCACCAGATGCAGCTGGGAGGGGGGCAGGTGCAGGCAGAAGCTGCAATCTGATCTGAGAGGGCTTTCCCCTTGTTTGTGGGAGGGCCCCCCTCCGGGAGACCACAATGGGAGAGTGGGTGTGAGCAGCCACTCACATGGGGACTGTGTTCCAGTCTGTGTCCCAAATGCTGTGCCTGTGTGGACTCTGTACTTTTTTTCTTTATTGATTTGAGAGAGAGAGAGAAAAATAGAAACATCGATGAGAGAGAAATAGAAACATCGATGAGAGAGAAAGAACATCGATTGGCTGCCTCCTGCATGCCCCCCACTGGGGATCGGGCCCACAACCTGGGCATGTGCCGGGTGACCTCTTGGTGCATGGGTCGACGCTCAACCACTGAGCCACACTGGCAGGGCCTATGTGAACTCGGGCAAGAAGAGAAGAGAGAGAGAGAGAGAGAGAGAGAGAGAGAGAAAGTGAGAGAAACATCGACGTGAGAGGGACACATTGACTGGTTGCCTCCCGCACGACCCAACCAGGGCCGGGAACAAAACACAACCGAGGTACGTGCCCTTGACGGAATCGAACCCGCTGCTCTTTGGTCCGCGGGCCAACGCTGTAACCGCTGAGCCAAACTGGCCAGGGCTCCCCTTACTCTTTGTATGAGCTTCCGGTGGCCACTGTAAGAGATGACCACAAACTTGATGGCTTTAACAACAGAAATTTATTCAGTCACAGTTCTGGCCAACACCAAAGTGTCTGCAGGGCCACAATCCATCTGGTGGCTCCAGGGACAGTCCATTACTTGCCTCCTCCAGTGTCTGGTGACTATAGGCATTTCTATAGGCATTTCTTGGCTTGTGGCTGCATCCAATCTCTGCTTCCTCCATCCTCATATCGCCTTCTCCTCTTCAGTGCATGTAATCTGCCCCTGCTTCTCTCTAATAAGGACACTGATGATGGTATTGAGATAATCCAGGATTACTTCCCATCTCAAGATAGCTAACTTGATTCTATCTGCAAAGACTCCTTTTCCAAGTGAAGTCATATTCACAGGTCCCAGGGATTTGACTCGGACATCTTGGCAGGGTTTTTGTTTCTGTTTCTGTTTGTTGTTTTTTTCAGCCTGCCACACTCTTCACTCTGACCCTCCCTGTGCTGTCACACTGTGGCAGGCATCAGGCGCCCCACCCAGACCCCACTTCGAGGACGGACATGCTGCCTTCCTCGGCAGCTGGCCTCCAGCTGTCCGCTCCTTCGGGGCCAGCCTCAGCTGCAGAGACCATCTCACCAGATGGCACGCCCTTCGGGGGCAGCCCACATCTGGGGATATGAAGTCCGACCCTTTCAGCCCCAGGAAGGACACTCTGAGGGGCAATATTCACTCCCCACCAAATGGACTGAGTTTTGTCAGTCCTGAGTTATCGTCGGGTTTCTCCCTCTTCCCAGTCCTACTTCTGTCTGGTTCCCCTCACAGGCATTGATCCCTGGGAAACACCTGGCCCCCCGGAGCTCACCTGCTTCTGGAGAACACAGCCTATGAACAGACATTTTCATTTGTG